GACATGACAATACTACTTATTTCTTCAATAGATTAGTAGGCAATAGGCAATATTTTACTATATTTGAGACTATAATTTATGGATGATTTTCGAGTGACCCCAAAATGAACTTTCAGCATGTCCACCTACTTACTAAAGCTAAATGAGGATAATAAATCTGTGTGAAGTAACAAAGATTATGATTCACAGTTGTTTGTTAAAGGTTAAGATTTAGACCTAAGGGGGCGGATTAATTACGAACAGACATAATCTATAATGGTAAAACTCTATTTAACCAAATGGATGATTGAATTTCGCGCCAAAATCCAAGACCTGTTATCTTAAATCTGATTGATTCATCCATAAACGATAGTCTTATCTTAGTACCATAATAAACTTCCAAAGTAATCACCCAAGGAATAATTTTATTCAAAACTTGTTGATTGAGGTTGGTATAAAGAAGTTTTAAAACAGACAAGCATATTTTCATTGAAGGATCTCAACAACCAAAGTCAACCAATTACCAATCCGTGGGCAACTAGTAGAAAACTCTCGATATTTCAAAATATCAGTTACGGTGATGAATTGATCAGTTCAGTCAGTCAGATACAACGTAGGACCAAGAGTATATATATGCATGTGTCCATCATTTGATGAAGTAATAATTTTTCCTAAATAGGCACTTAATATTTACTGAGGGTTCATTTTTCAAATAGTCATTCTTAAGAAAGATTAGAAAGCGTTAGATTTCAATACGGTTTTGTCAATGAGTGGCCTGACCAAATCATTATTTGACTTTCTAAATGACATTGCAGACATTACTTATTTATAAAGTCTGTAATTATTTTTGCAAATCAGCGGTTCCCTTTGTTAAACATAATAAACGAACAATAAAAAACTGTATGTACCGTTCAAGTAATAGTGATACATTTAAATGTTTTATAAAATGTCTATATCAATTAATGTGGCACTTCTCGGTCTAGCATTCTTATTACATTTCGCATGTAACAATGTTGCAAACAAAATGTAATCAGAATGTACTTCTTATGTCATGTGTGAATATTACTTATTTAATGTCAAACCCGAGATAGCTATGATTAACAAAAAAACAAAAATATTTGCACTGAACAGCATATTTGCAGTTTAAAAAAATCTCCATAGAATATTCTATGTTGTTGAATAACAAGTTTTGACAAGTATTTGAAATATTGGTTACATAAAGTGTAAAAGTACAAGCCTACGTCGTGTGACAAAATAAATGTCTATTTCAATTATACAACTTTATATGAACGAAATCAACTGTATCAAATGACATTTGGGTATACGTACGTTGAATGTCAATGTAATAAATAAAAGTCTACCATTTATTTAGTAAACGTCAAAATGATCAATTTCACTATATCGAAACATAGTGCTCTATCTTCAATTCACTCATGATATAGACATTTTATAAAACGTATAAATGTATCACTTTGTTCGTATTAAGCTGTATAATTGAGATAGACATTTATTTTGTCAGACGTAGGCTTGTACTTTTACGCTTAATGTAACTAATATTTCAAATACTTGTCAAAAAATTTTAAGCCCAATTGACGAGCACAATAATCGATTCACATGACTACTTACATAGACAAGTATTTTTTTGTCATAATTTTAAACTGCTCAACTACAAAGAATGTACAGGTAAAAACAAGTAATGCTTTTAATGGATTAGTAAAATAATACAATTGACAATCTTGCTTTTATTTATGACACCATTTTTCCAGCGAAACTAAACAACTCTTTTCTACTAAGAATTACTGTTTAGAAAAGAACCCAATCATAAATATTATTTGGTACTTTCTGAGTAAAATGAAGTTGGTATCTTTTATTTTTAAAGTCTACATTTTGATCAAAACTGGGATGGATCAGTCAGACAGAATTATTTTTTTTATTGGAATAGTTGAGATCATGAGTGAATTGAAGCAAGAGGAGCACCATGAAAAACCTGTTAATGTCTAACTTCAACTAATCCACGAAATTTCTATAAATCTCCATTGATTATATTACTTAATCACTAAGGCTTAATTAGAATTCATCAATGTTGGTTCAGTTGACCTTTCCTACAGAAATGATGTCGTTGTACTAGTGAACTGATAGTACTACATTCGCCTATCGTAACTATATGACAAAACATTGAAACATTCTGAATAAGTTTTGCATGTACTATTGTTAGGCAGATTAGTGTTCATTAGATGACATTTCTTATACGAAATCGTTTACTTAAACCGTATATTTGATAAAGCTCAAAAAGCGTTCACGAATACGTGGACGATAATCACATAATGATTACCAATCTTAAATGAATTTTGATAGTTTCATCACTTGACCTTTGCCATGGAATTAAGGAATTGAAACAAAAGAATTCAAATCAAATTGTGGGTGGCCCTGAAAAGGGCCTTTACTCGTTCTCTTAACAATTCCGAGTTTCATGAACAAAGGCGTTGATATTATTCCATCATAACTCCGTACATGGGACAGTGGATTCCATGGAGGTGTGGTGATGGATCGTGAGCACAAAATAAATGAAGCATTGCTTCGCATGGACAAAAAACCCAGGTGCTTCCATCAGCAGTTTAATGTGGCGGTTGCGCAAGATTGCAAATATCATAAAGTCTGTTGTCATACGCGTCTTCGTCATTGTCATCGTCTCGTTCAATGAACTCCTCTGAGCTAATCGAAACAATTTCTTCCTCGTCATTGCTTAACGTTGCATCCATATTGACGTTATTTTGACAGTTGGTAACTTACAACATACGAAGGAAGGACATTGAGTGCTCACGGTAGTCCTTAATGAAAAATTATAATAACATTAATCAAATTACCTCGTTCGTCTACTCGGCTGTGAGCAACCGCTAGGTGTTCTACGGCCATTTCTCCAACATACGAATTTAATATACGGCTTCCGATCTCTATGTAAATGAGAACCCCTCACAACATAATGGCTGTACGTGGCTTTCATTCGTTCTAATGGCGCTCTTCAACGCTTCAAAAGATTGGAACGCTAAGAGATACAATGTGCCCAAGAACGAACAGGTTATCGGTTCCCGTGACAACGTGAGGAACAACGGAGCTCGTATCTCACACGTTACTACCATCCATAATTGTAAGAAAATGTGCTCTGTCGTCCTGTCCGGGTATTTTTATATCAATTTGAAGAAATAAACGACCAATTATCACGAAGTCCAAACTAGTCATTCGATTGGACGAGACAGAATGAAAATTATTGGAAGATCGGGATGAAAAATTTTTTCGAAAGGGACGAAAAAAATTTCACTCGATAAAAAAAAATACAAAAATGGCCGTGCAGTAAATGTTGACCTCATTTGTGTACACATGTTATTTTCTATTTTATGGTACGTTGTGGTCTGTCTGATTGATATATAAACCGAGTATGTCTGAAATAAACGATCTGATCTGATTCGATTCATACTACAGAAGCTGGTATTGTGTTCTGGACTCAAGTGGAAGGGCTAGGAGGACATAGGACCAATCAGGACGCTAAACTGCTCATACCGGTTGAACGTCATTGGTTTGGCATAGTGCGAAATTGTATAAGTCGTATTCTGACTGGTCTATAAGTCGCGTGATAAAAAGTCAGACATCAAGGTCATAACACAAAGTACTTTCTATTACACTAGCAACTGCATAGCCTAATGGGTATCTACATAAACATGTAGATTAGGATGTGACACAGTAGTTTATATGATGTTGGGGGACAATGTATGAGTTTTGCTCTCTTAGTGGTGGTGAGACGTCATTTACAATGACATCTTTATCTTTCCATTCCACCCTATTGCTATATACTAGTTATCAATATTCAGTAACCCATTTCATTTCCAATAACTTTTGGAAGTATAATGGGACATGTGTCTGCAATCATAACGTTCTTGAGAATTTACATAAACTGATGACATTCAGTCCATTGATTATGGTAACTATATATTCGTGACATTTGGAATAGATATTTTTACTCCGATTGTTTCTGTTAAACCTTATCATACTGTAAAAGATTCCATACTTTGGTGTTCTTCGTTCTTACTTTGAGACTACAATTGTAATTTAGACACAGATAATAGCTGTCACATATCGTACGGTATTATGAATAACTGCGTACAAACTTGGCAGACACTTCATGAGTTCGGGGCTATCAATGCACTTCATATGATTTCGCAATAATAGTATCGTCTTTCCAGTTAATAACTCCGTTTGCAGCTATTTCAGGGTTACTGCCGATCCCAAACACGCTTAAACGGGTCAACAACCCCATCCCATAGAAAACAACTTTGCTAAAAATACGCCAACATAAATAAACAAATTAAACCATTCAAACACTATCGTCCGAGTTCAAGGGAGAATCATGACATCTCATGCTTAAATCCAACATTCTTCGGAAGTCACAAAGCTGATGTCCCTTCTAACAACCACAGCAACAATTAATATAGGAACATGAAACGTTCGGACAATGTGGAAGACCGTAAGTACTGTAGTGAACACGAACACCAGTGGGGAGCAATCGAATGCATATGACACAAAATTACAGAACCTTTTAATAAAATCTAACAATCAAATAGTAAATACGTAATCTGCAAAATGTCCTTCAATTGTCTCATAATGACTCAGACTTCATTGTTCTTGCATTTTCATAAAAATTGCATTCCGTTCCCATTCTTTACTGTTTGCTTCTCTTGTCTCTCTGCTGCTAGACATTCTGTTCACGACTAACATCACCTACTACTTATGTCAATATAAGTAGCACACACCACAGTACTACCAAAATATTTACGGAACCTCGGAGATACAAATTGACGGTTTTCGGAACCAGTGAAAAACAATGAACACATGCTGGACAGAAAAAGCTAGATACGGAAGAGATACCTCTGTACTCCAGTCACGAAGAACATAATTCTTTCAACACTCAGGGAATCGCTCTGATGCCGTCCAAAGAAGTACGTAATGCATTTATAGGACGGGTTTCTCAAGGATCCAGATTCATCAAAATGTCCTTCAAAACAAAGAAGGAGGGAATCACAAAGAATTTTATCCAAGGATATGCACACACCATTCATTGCAATAACGGCCATAAAGATCAGTTCTATGAGAGGCTGCAGTCAATCATAGCGAAGCACTCCAGATCAGATCTCATCATCCTGACAGTAGACCTAAACACCAAAGTCGGAATGGATAACATTGGATATGGAAATATCCTGGGACGACATAGACTGGGAGAGAGAAACGAAACTTGTGAATTCAACAAAATGGTCATAGGTGGTGGTGGTGACCTGGAATCTAAATACGAAGTGAGGAAATACCTTAACAAGTTGATTCCCTTCACGTATTTGTAGGGATGCAGATACATCTTCGCCTAACAGATCATGTATATCCTCTTTATATATCTGGGAAATAACTCAATACAAAAATGTGTATATTACCTCCAGGAATGAAACCTTCACTGTATACTCATACTCATAATTTGGCATTTTCTCAAATAAATCCCTAATAATTCGAGGAACAATACCAGTGGATTCTTCTACCACACTTTCGGAGATACATGTACCCATTGTATATGTTTTCCACTTCCAGTTTGACCATAGGCAAACACAGTAGCATTGTATCCTTTGAGAATATTTTCAACCATTGGAAGTGCAGCCTTTTTGTAAACATACTCTTGAGAATCTGTTTCTTTGAAAACATAGTCAAAGCCAAAACGCTTGTCGTTTCCAATTATTAGCTGATTTTCTTCATTTGGATATGACAAACAGGTCGAACTACCGTCATTCACTTCACTGTCTGACAATGGTCGAACACGAACATCAACTTTCACACTTGTGTCCCCAATTCCCATTTGTACAGGGTACGGAAGTATGAAAGCGCTAAGAGCTGTTGACAGATAACGATATATTCCTAGCTATAGAAATTTTTAAACAAAACTTTCAATGAAAAACAATAACATCAATCGGAATGTTTTTGGTACATAACAGAATAGAAGACATCATTTAGTGGCTACAAACTATCAGGAACATAGTAACTCATGAAAACTAAACATACCTAATTGTCGACGTTTAATAGGAAAGAATGCATTTATGTGAGAATTGAAGTAACAGAGAATTAAGTAACATTCCACTCGAGAAAGTTTAACTGCTGAAAAGTTTGTAGAACCTGAAGGAAATGTGAGCTTAAATTATGTGTAAAATATATTGAACATGGACTGTGCAAACACTCGGTTTTATATATGACAGTTCTCTATATTTTTTTAGGTCGATTTTCAGTATTACGAAAAACCTGCTTTGTCTCAAAGCATTTACTAAAGAAGTTCGTGATCACAGCCAAAGTAAAATTAAAGTTTTCTAATAGAACATCACTAACATAAGAATGACAAACAAACATATACATGCAAGCTCTAACTTACTAAGGGGATAATTTGGTAGTTAAGGTATCCTACATTTACTTACCAGGTCACATATTTGTGCATCGCTCCACCTATTTCAGTTTGGGCAGCATTATAATACATCATACCTGAAGTGTGGCTTAAGGACGAATATATGAGCATGTACTCAAACGATGAAATTAAGACAACCGAACTCAAATTTGTGACCAAACACAAGACCACCTACTTTTTTTAGTCATAATGTTAGGGGAAGAGGCACCATCCGCGTAGCTCAACTTACAAATATTTTTGGCCTAAACTAACTATTTCACCGACCTACTAGGCTATGTAACTTAGTGTGTATCGCGTTATAAATTCAATAAATAGGCGATCCAATTACTATGTGTGTGACAAAATATGATTATTTTGTAATTATATGGCTTTTGTACGAAATAATGATTCTTTTGTATTTTATAGTCCGCTGGTTACCAATTCCAAATGTAATATGTTCGTTTGTGCCCTTCTAGTTCTACTTGCTGTAAATTGCACCATTTCTGAAATTCTTAGTAAGCACGTCAATTAGAATAATTCTAACCATTATATCGACGTCGCGATGGATACTTTGATAGAATATTTGAATGTACATTCAATTCTGACGTTTTCGATGATTACATGGAAAGGTCTGTAATCTGAAGCCTAACCAGGAAAGAAGTTAAGGATGATAAAATGACGGCTAATTTCCTCACATTCAATGGGAAGGATGCTAATAGCTTATTATAAACTTTAGCATTCCCAGATAAGACTGTTTCACATCTCTATGCAACTATCAAAGAACTACTATAAAACCATGTAAAGTGTACTAATTTCTAATGCTGTGTAAAGGCGAAATTTCAAGAACGATCTACAGGATAACCAACTTTATAAGAATGTCTACACAAGATACTGATCAGCTCGAAGGTGCTTTAAACATTTCACCGTCTTTCTGAGTTTTGAGGAAACAAATAGTATCACTACTGTATTTCCAGACCGTTCATAACTTTGACAACGAAATGCTCACTACTAACAATAATAAACTATCTGCTCATGAGTAAAAACTCTCAGTAAACTTACTGTAATCAATGATCTTATTGTCATTAAATTATCGTGCTGAATTTTCCAAGCATCTCGTAATTCAGCATTTTCTTTTTTTAACTTGTCAATCTTTTCATTGGCAGCTTGAAGCCGAGATTGAACGTCTTTCATCTAGACATGAACAAACAAGGACAAGACATTAGTAAGGACGTGAATAGACTAGTAAAGGTGGTTGGTATTTCCTTATAAATGCTTTCGCAACAAGGAGTGATAAACTGAGAGTGGAATAAACGGGTTTAATAAAGAGGATAATAAATCGAGTGATTAGAATGAGAATCTGTGCCGTTTGGTGTGCCTGAAATGTATCAGCCATGTCCAGCCATCGACTGTACAACACTTAAGTAGATTGAGAAAGAAGTTTAATATGATTGGACCAATGAATAGCATCTGCCACTGACTGTTAGGCTGAGAAAGATATCATTTTTCAGAGTTTCGCATCAAAAACGATGTAGTTGTTCTGTCCTCTTCTTCAAATTTTGGTATTTTAATATTATTTTATAGTTACTGTTGTGGTATTTCACTTGTCTTATTCAACAGCATTTATTATTAATTTCAAAGACCGTGTTTACATTTAGATAATTTTTTCACTTCCTCAGCTGAAATGAAGTATGACATCTTAGAAAGATGCATTCACGTTTGCCAGCCGATTACATGCAGTTGATTATGAATACGAACGAAGAACACCAAAGTATGGAATCTTTTACAGTATGATAAGGTTTAACAGAAACAATCGGAGTAAAAATATCTATTCCAAATGTCACGAATATATAGTTACCATAATCAATGGACTGAATGTCATCAGTTTATGTAAATTCTCAAGAACGTTATGATTGCAGACACATGTCCCATTATACTTCCAAAAGTTATTGGAAATGAAATGGGTTACTGAATATTGATAACTAGTATATAGCAATAGGGTGGAATGGAAAGATAAAGATGTCATTGTAAATGACGTCTCACCACCACTAAGAGAGCAAAACTCATACATTGTCCCCCAACATCATATAAACTACTGTGTCACATCCTAATCTACATGTTTATGTAGATACCCATTAGGCTATGCAGTTGCTAGTGTAATAGAAAGTACTTTGTGTTATGACCTTGATGTCTGACTTTTTATCACGCGACTTATAGACCAGTCAGAATACGACTTATACAATTTCGCACTATGCCAAACCAATGACGTTCAACCGGTATGAGCAGTTTAGCGTCCTGATTGGTCCTATGTCCTCCTAGCCCTTCCACTTGAGTCCAGAACACAATACCAGCTTCTGTAGTATGAATCGAATCAGATCAGATCGTTTATTTCAGACATACTCGGTTTATATATCAATCAGACAGACCACAACGTACCATAAAATAGAAAATAACATGTGTACACAAATAAGCCAAAAAGTGACTGTGAACGAGGGGGACAGTAATTAACAGACTGAGCATAGCTCAAGAACCGTATATCGTACAATAATAAATTATAGGTCAAAATAAAGCTTATAATAAGAGGAATATAAATATACATAATGTAATTGTTGAATAGTTATACAATAAGAATATTTATAGAATATTAGTCCATTAATAGACCTTGGAAGTTACCTGTAATTTAATCTTCACCTGGATACAACACTTTGAATTAATTTCTCATTACCACATTCTTAGATGCCATTCTTCTCCATGGTTGAAACAACTTTATTATTTAGGAGAACACATTCTTTCATTTTCGACAGGTTTGTTCTAATATCACACCTTTGGTAGTTATCCTCACGTGTTTTTTAATATCTTTCCTAATTCTTGGTAAAAGTTCAATATAAAGTGTCCCAATAGTACGTGACTATGGTTTAAAGTAGTGCTCGCATTTCCTTCAGGTTCTACAAACTTTTCAGCAGTTAAACTTTCTCGAGTGGAATGCTACTTAATTCTCTGTTACTTCAATTCTCACATAAATGCATTCTTTCCTATTAAACGTCGACAATTAGGTATGTTTAGTTTTCATGAGTTACTATGTTCCTGATAGTTTGTAGCCACTAAATGATGTCTTCTATTCTGTTATGTACCAAAAACATTCCGATTGATGTTATTGTTTTTCATTGAAAGTTTTGTTTAAAAATTTCTATAGCTAGGAATATATCGTTATCTGTCAACAGCTCTTAGCGCTTTCATACTTCCGTACCCTGTACAAATGGGAATTGGGGACACAAGTGTGAAAGTTGATGTTCGTGTTCGACCATTGTCAGACAGTGAAGTGAATGACGGTAGTTCGACCTGTTTGTCATATCCAAATGAAGAAAATCAGCTAATAATTGGAAACGACAAGCGTTTTGGCTTTGACTATGTTTTCAAAGAAACAGATTCTCAAGAGTATGTTTACAAAAAGGCTGCACTTCCAATGGTTGAAAATATTCTCAAAGGATACAATGCTACTGTGTTTGCCTATGGTCAAACTGGAAGTGGAAAACATATACAATGGGTACATGTATCTCCGAAAGTGTGGTAGAAGAATCCACTGGTATTGTTCCTCGAATTATTAGGGATTTATTTGAGAAAATGCCAAATTATGAGTATGAGTATACAGTGAAGGTTTCATTCCTGGAGGTAATATACACATTTTTGTATTGAGTTATTTCCCAGATATATAAAGAGGATATACATGATCTGTTAGGCGAAGATGTATCTGCATCCCTACAAATACGTGAAGGGAATCAACTTGTTAAGGTATTTCCTCACTTCGTATTTAGATTCCAGGTCACCACCACCACCTATGACCATTTTGTTGAATTCACAAGTTTCGTTTCTCTCTCCCAGTCTATGTCGTCCCAGGATATTTCCATATCCAATGTTATCCATTCCGACTTTGGTGTTTAGGTCTACTGTCAGGATGATGAGATCTGATCTGGAGTGCTTCGCATCAGTGTTTGACTGATTAATCGAAATAAAAATGAATTCATTTGGTTACTATCTAACATTACTATGAATATGTACAAATATTGTTAGGTAAATAATTCGACATTAAACTGTAAAGTGAACTCACTCTTGAATTGCCCACCCAGAACACACTTTATGTCACAATTCAGTTCAGGTTTTCATGTCAAGAAGTAAATGGCTGACAGTTATGATTAAACGTACAGGAAATATGAAATAGCTCACGTTAGAACTATGAAGAGATAGAATATGTACGATATATATATATATATATATATATATATATATATATATATATATATATATATATATATATGATTTCAATCACAGAGACAATTCAGTTCTAAGAAAACAGTTTGGGAGAATTCTCTTAGATAAAAACTTCCCTGACTCTTATGAAGAACTCAATAAAAGAAAACTACAGCAGAAATGCTATTGGTTCCTATCATCAGCTAATTCAGGTAACGCCTTAGACCACCCTAAACAGATTTCTTTCTAGTTATGGCTCATATACTATTTGGTAGACTAACTACTAGTGTTGAACCTGACTCGTCTTGGTAATTGGTTGAAACTGAAGCAGAGGCTCATTTTAGTATACCGATCCGTTTAGGATGAGACATTGACTGGCCACCAAAGCACAAGATGAGCTTGGTGAGAATTAAACCATAACCAATAGAGATAGGCACTTTAGGAGTGTGCGTTTCGCACACAGATACGCCAGTGATAGCCGGTCGTGATGTAACCAATCTGTGTTCAGGCTGGGATGACACCTCAAGGTAGACATCGACTAAAACGGTGCCGCAAGTTGGTGCTGATTAGGAAAGGGTCAAGCCAATGCACAGCTGCAACTGGAGATTACTGTTATCTGACCTGAGATTAGCAAGCCACCAATAGCAACTAGAGACCCGTCCTGTGCATTTAAATCTCCGGTCAACACTATAGTAACTATCAAATACGCTTTTTTGAGATCATCTAATTCGAAGTAAAACTCATCCTTAGTCACATCCGGGCTGTAATCCGTTGTCACTTTCATAAAATCCTATTGGAAATCCATATTCAGTGAGAACAGTGAAGATTTAGACCGGTCAGTAGTTTGAGTTTGTTTAGAAATTTTATCATAAGCAAGCTGCCATATGAGCTGGGAAATAAGAATTAACATTGAATGAGAAAAAGCACTTGAATTAAATGGATATAAACTATCTATTGTGTTAGTAGTAAAATGGAAAATGTATAACACCAAATCCATCATAAGTATTCACGATCGTATTCGCAAGTGCATTCAGTTATTGATCGAAGAATGTTTTATTAAGGAGCGTCGTCAACCTATCGACCTGGAGGCCGAATCTACAAGGCAGGGAAGAAAAGTCAGGAGACGTGATTCTTTGATACCTAGGACGAGTTCATCAGCCATTCGATCCTCAGGATTGTGAAGTTTATTTGGACTACTGGTTTGAAATAAGTTTTTTTAATCTTTTGCATGGATCCTACATGAATATCGAAGAAGGCTGAAGATAATCAAGAAAAGAATTGGAATTAGACCGTGAAATCACTAACTGTTGGAGTGAACCATGTTAATGAACACAGACTAACAGATTGTCGACCAATCAGTCATATGTAGAGGAGGACCCGGCACACATGTGCTCTGTTCAGGTTGAAATTACAAAGGAAAATCCAAGTAGTAGAAATAGTAGTAATAGTGACAGAAATAAATCAAACCCTTGGGAAAAGTGACCAGAGAAGAAAGAATAAATAGATAGAATGAAAAACCATATGACAACTTTAAAAATTAAGATCTAAGAGACAACAAGCAGTAAGAGTATCCGCTTTATTACAACCAATTCTGAGGCACATCACCCAATCTGCAACCACTGGTCAACATAATCGCACGGACCTCGACCAGTTAGTCTGAACCAGTTCAACCCAACAGCCAATAGCTTCAGAAATTGTTCCCTCATTTCCATGTGGAGAGTTGGTATTCTTCTAGCCTACTACTCTACTGACCAACATCTCGCCTAAAGGGAGTCAGTAGTCGGGGCCTGTGTGATTATCGTGACCAATGGTTGGAAGAACAGGGTGATATGGTGTAAAGTTCAATACAGTGGCACATATGCAATTACCATTTATCTTCCTTTACATCTTCATTTTCAGTGTTCCTTCATACGTTCCTTCTTTGAGAACCATATGTCCAATATGTTGTCATTCATATTATCATTACCACCACGATTACTTCAATTACTTAGCTATTTATCGACTTAATTTTGTCACAGTGTTGATTTAGTAGGAAAACGTGGACCAAAGCACATTTGTGCTTGCGTCTACATCGATTAAAACTAACTGAATTCATTAATTCCTAAAGATTAAATACTTGCCACGAGTTGACGGTCTAAGATTTGATTCTTGAAAGTATAATATATGTACACTACTTAAAGATTACATACTAGGAAAAAACAGTTGTTCAGTTTGCTTATTGGTTTTCTAGATAAAAACCAAATCATGTCAACTATCTCTACCTAGGTTTATACCCATATTCTACAATATATCGACAGTACAAAAAAATCCTGGCTATCCAGATAAATATGATAGGCGATGAAGAGGAGAGTGATCATTACACATGTACTCACATTAATATCAGTCACTACCGTAAAAGGTAGACTACATTCGCTGTCAACATTTTTAAATTCGTCATCAGTAGTAAACGGACTATTCCAAAGAAAAAAAGATGAACAAATAAAAGTATTATTCAAGCAACTGAAATTATTCAAAATATTTAATGATACTGAGTATAAGTAAGTCCGCATAGAGCTAGTCCCGGTCCTTTAGAACCACAGTTGACCGTAAGCTTAACGAATCTGCCGTGTGAAAAATAAGTCTACTGAAAAGAACGCCAATCACAGAAAACTAATTAGACCTTCAGCTGTGACTTGATGAGTCTTCATATAGAAGATTTATAGTGCCGAATTTGGGAAGTCGAGATTTTTCGAAAGTCAAGATGCCGACGCTTTTTCTGACAACCGAAAACAATGACGAATAAATGGACGTGGAATGTTTGAACAATGTGAGAGACGGAATGAGTTTTTAAGATAGTCGCAAAAATAAGACGAAACAGTCTGGCTGTATTTGGAAGAAGCGAAACCCATTGAATACAGTCTGGGTAGAAATGACAAACTTTAAAAAAGGTGTTGTCTTATTACGGTCATGAAGCACATGATGCTTCCCACATACAAGATGTTGGCCCATAAATGCCCTGATAGGACCAAGGGTGGGGAGAGTCCGCTCTCCCTCTCGAAATGCTCTCACATGGCCACATGTATACATTAAAGCATCTTTCAAAATAAAAGCGGACATGATTACAATGAACATCATCCAGTGCTACCAAATCACCAACAGTAGGAAGGAGGATGACAAAGACTAATTTCATGAGAGGCTGTAGCTCATCCTAGAGAAATGGTCAGCAAGAGATCTGACCATTCTGGTTGTGTACAAGACTGCCGCTTCTTTTCGAGTATCTATCTGGACTCTGACCATGCTTTGGTCTGCGCCAATCTTGCCTTACTTTTCTGTGGACAACGAAGTGACCGCCACCAACGGATTGATGTTAGCAAGCTGGTTGCAACTTCTGTTGCTAGTAAGTATCGAACCGAGCTAGTTTCTAGGCTAGCTACCATTCCACCGAAAAGTATAGATGAGCATTGGTTGCGATTGCATGACGCCATGAAAATGGCGGGTACAGTCAGTTGTGGGTTCGCGAAACGTCCCACTTATAAGCACTGGGTTTCTTCAGGCTCCTTACAACTCATTGAAGCCCGTCGGTCTACTCCGGGTGACCGTGAGTTTGACCACAAACGAAAGATGTTACGTCATGAAATTGGGCAAAGCTTGCGTAAGGACCGAGAAGCTTGGTCAGAGCGTGCTAATGAACTGGAAGCAGCAACTGCATCTGGTAATTACCGGAATCTCTTCCAACTCATCCGAGCCACTGGCAGCAGGAAGTCTGGTGTGAGTGAAACAATCTGCGAGGATGACGGGATGCTAATCACTAACATCCATCGACGTCTTGGACGATGGGCAGAATTTTTCGAAGGGCAGTTCAACTGGCCTGCTGCTCCGGCAATATCGGTCAGACTATCCTGCCCTCCATGGCCGGTAATGACTGATCCACCAAATGAGGCGGAAGTCCGCAAGGAACTTCAACTCTTGAAGCGTTACAAATCACCTGGCCCAGATGACTTACCTCCGGCTCTTTTTAAACATGGTGGTGACTTTCTGACTAAGGAACTGACGGCGTTGTTTACAAAGGTCTGGGAGCTAGAGAGTGTACCAACATCATGGAATGAGTCGATAGTTGTCCCTATCTTTAAAAAGGGTTCACATCGTTCCTGTAACAACTATCGGGGTATAAGTCTACTTCCGATTGCGTCCAAGCTATTGGCTTCCGTCATTCTTCGTAGGTTGTTCAAAACCCGAGAAAGATTGACTCGCGAGGAGCAGGCTGGGTTTCGTTCTGGTCGAGGATGTATTGATCATATCTTCACCCTCCGCCAAATGTTAGAACACCGCCATACTTATCAAAGGCCAACAATCGTAGTGTTTCTTGACATCAGGGCTGCCTTCGATTCGTTGGACAGGACTGTTCTCTGGGATTGTCTATTGAAGAAGTTTATTGAGAAGTTTATTAACATCCTAAAAGCCCTATATAAAAACACCTCAGGCAGAGTGAGGGCATACAACCACCTCTCTCCATTGTTCCATTCGAGCAGTGGGGTTAGGCAGGGTTGCCCAATCTCACCATTCCTCTTCAACTTTGCCATCGATGACATTCTGGAAACAGCTCTGATGAATGTAAGTAATGGTGGTGTGGATCTGTTTCCTGGAGAAAGACTTCTCGACCTTGAGCATGCGGATGATATTGCCTTACTGTGCGATAATGCCCAAGGCATGCAATCCGCACTTAATCAGTTGGCAATCAGTGTCCGTAGGTATGGTATGTGCTTTGCACCTTCGAAGTGCAAAGTACTTCTACAAGACTGGAAGGATTCTAATCCTGCACTCACCCTGGATGGTGAACAGATAGAAGTAATCGAGAAGTTCGTGTATCTAGGTAGCGGCAAGAATTAATACAGAACAAACGCCTACACTGTATACACACCCCTCGGTAATAATTGGATGTTTCTCCAGAACCAAGTATTACTAGTCGTAAGTTTTCCATCCTCGGTTGTTATGTTTTGAAGTCACAATATTATCTGCACCACCTTGTCGCATCGTAACAATCATCAATATATGATGAAGAACACACTTAGGCTAGAGATAGAATATATTTAATTAGAGTATAAGGTATGGGGTAACACTCAACAAGGACAACGCCTGCAAGTCCTAGCCATGCCATTTGATCAACTCGAATTAATTCAATTTATTCTTCCCGCATTCCCTATTGTTGGGTTTTTCTCCGCGTTGAATATTGAATATCTAATTACCCAATTGTACCGTGTTCAGCTTTCAGGATTTTGTAGTTAGGGCCCAATGCCACTTTAAATCCACGAAAGTTTGAGATCTTCTATAAACCGCAACCTTATTTCTTTCATCAACATCTGAGGTAATAATGGTGGCGCAGAACGAAATCAGCTGTTCCATATGCTTTATCGGCGGCATATCTTGAGGGGGGCTGGGAAAGGAAGACAAAGGAAGGACAAGAAACAAGATAGACGACGTTCATGCCTATTGAAATTGAGTCATATGTGGTGAAATAGTGAAGGTGTGACTACTAAATTCCCATTATTAAGGTACTTTTTAAGCAAGAGCATTCTAATAGGTTGAAGAAAAAAATGTAAATATGGTTTGAATGGACAAACAACTGTATGAAGGGTGGGGGTTAGAAAAGCAGCTGAAAGTATAGGATTACGTGTAGTTTTGAAAAATAGTTCTGAAAAAAATTTCTGATGCACAAATGGATATCGCCCTTTTTGTCGAAGCTATTTCAGCTCACTTTTATCGTTAGTGAATTTATAGGCTCATTAGCACGCCTCGTTTATAGTGAAATGTCCAGTTTTGCTTAGAATAGGATTACTCGGCACGAAGTGAAACCAATTCAACGTCACTGTGGTGGAACAAAAACTATATTTACCAAAAATTAGCAATAAAATTATTACGTCCAAAAGTTAATATAACACTAATAATTTATAAATTAGTAACACAAAATAAAAGTTCAGGGACGTTACTTAAATCAGCTAGTTGTCGAGTATTCCGTTGAGTTTTGGTACCAAAATCCACAATTATAAATGAGTAATAACTCCGATGAGGTAAATATGACTCCAGTAAGTTTCCTTGACGTAGGATGTAATAGTAATGACACAACAGTCTAAAATGTGGATAATATTTGATTTAGAATGCAATTGGCTCGATAACGAGTGAGAATAGAACAAGGAGTGTGTGCGTAGTAGTGTATTTGCGAACAGCCACAAGTGTGTCACGCTATGTTAGTAACACAACGGAAAAAGCGTTCAAGGTCATTTACTAAAACAACAGGTACAGTCATTTAATGACAAATGTACATAAAGTGCAAAATTGACAAAATAAATACAAATAACATTAAAAACTATTTACAAAATAAGCTTGTCAGGCCTATCTACACATCACAAACACGATTTAAATGGGTATTTTGCATAATAAATTAGTATCAATACCACTGGTTCGTGACGTTCCAATTGAACATAATGAGTCGTAATTAAATAAAATATTCTGCCTTGAACACATGGGTGAATCGAAGTTATCTCCTCACCATCATGTTTGCCTGTCAGTAACGACATCTCCCCTCCTTTGTCATGTTGGACTTTCTTACGTTTGTGGTGTGTATGAATATCGTTTTATTCATAGAATCTTGTTGAAATACACTGTCACTACTTGTTCCATGTTACAAGTAAATCAGATGGTTAAGGCTTCTGTTTTGTGGATTAGATATAGATTTAGTGTAACACACCGCTAATCGTGAAAGTTATGGGTGATCTTATCCGCAACGCAACCATGTAAACTTAATGTATCGCACACTGTCATTTGTGCGTTCAATTAGCCACAGATTTTGTCATTTCATAATGTATTTTTTACTAAATAACTAGATTATGTAGTTAATTTTGCTCTGTTTTTAATTTTTATTCGCCACGTCCGACTGCGTTACACTGTACGTCCATTGCACGCTGCGATGATATCCCAAGTCATAGTGAGTTTATTCACATAGTTGATTGTTTCCAGATAGACTGTCAGTGCATGATTTTACTGAAGAAAGGTTTTTTGTACTGTAAACTATGTTTCTATGAACAACTGCCTGTTGTCTTCAGTATGGAAGCAGTATATATGTATCCTTCTTTTTAAAAAAAGAAATGTCTTAGGTAAGTTCAACTGGCCTATATTTCGTGTTTTGGTTTTATCGGCTTAATTATGTCCATTTAACTACTTTGAGCAGCATGTCTGTGCAAATGAGACAAAAACTATAACACTTGCTTAGTTTAGTGTTCTTGGTTGTCGTATAATTCAGTTTAGTTGAAAGAATTATGATATACTTAGGTATAGTGCTTGATGCTTGTAACGAAACAGATCAGTTTAGTAAGTAGGGTTTGTAGAATTATGGTCTACTATGATATTAGTACTGCTCTAATAATAGACCTAATCCTAAATTTGTAGATTTGTCATGATATAACTGCCTAATCTATAAGATCCTACGTGGAAGTCACACCATCGACTACACCAACTCACTGTATCGTATCAATTACCAATACATGATGTAGAACAAGGTTAGGCTAGAGAAAGAACAATATATTTAATATGAATAGAAGATATAAAGTAACATTGAGATGGACCACGCCTGCATGGCCGAGCCATGCCACTCGACCAACTCCAGTCCATTCAATTCCTTCTCCGCGCCTTCTCCATTGCTAGGTATTTCCCCGAGTTAAATATTGAATATCTATTTTCCGAGTAGTCTCGTGTTCACAGCTTTGTGGATTGTGTGGCTATTGTCCAATGCCACTACACCACTCTCCCACCAGAATCAACGTGATGTTGGTTCGATACCA